CAGCAGCAGCAGCAACAGCAGCAGCAGCAGCAGCAGCAGCAGCAGGTGTTTATGTTTGTCTTGTGCAGATATTCACACGAGGCGTTCGGGCTCATCATGCGGCGTTGGTTCTGCAGGTGTCTCCTCACTCTTTGTCTCTTTCATCTACATATATCTACATTTAAATATATATATATTTATCTATATATATTTATATATATAATATATATTTATATATACTTTATACATAAATATATGCATTTGTATATATAGGTATAGGTTTGTAAATAGATAGATCTGTCTGTGTATGTATGAATATGTATCTGCATATATATATATATATATAAATATATATATATGCATGTAAATATATATATATATATTTATTTATTTATATTTATATTTATATGTATATATATGTATATATTTATTTATTTATATGTATATGCATCTGTCTCTTTTCTGTGTCTCGTCTGTGTGCCTCATTTATTTATTTTTCTCCTGTCTCTATCTTTTTTATTTGTCTCCTTTTTATTTTATAATCTGTCTCCTTATAATATTTAATTAATATATCAATGAACATATAATTAATATATATAATCTGTCTCCTTATAAAGTATAATGAATACATTAATGAATATATAATTAATATATATAATCTGTCTCCTTATAACATATAACAAATGTATATAATCTGTCTCCTAATATCATCTAATTAATATATTTCTTCTGTCTCCTTTTAATATTTTTTGTCTCCTTTTCAGGGTCGTTTGAAGTTAGAAGTTGGTTGCGAGCGCATCGCCTGCCGCGTTGGGCCCTGGACAACCCTAGCTATGCACGTAAGCAGCAGCAGCAGCAGCAGCAGCAGCAGCAACAGCAGCAGCAGCAGCAACAGCACGAGTTGGTGCTGGTGCTGCTGCTGTTGCTGCTGCTGCTAGAGCTATAGTCTGTTATTGTTGTGTACTTAATAAATATATTATTTACAGCGGTGATAATAAAAATATAATAATAATAATATATATAGCAACAATAAATATAATATTTATTATTATTATTATTATTATTATTAATTCGTATTATTATAGGGGAGTATTATTATAAGAATAATACTTTCGTGCATACTACCATTTGCTTCCTGCTGCTGCTGCTGCTGCTGTTGCTGCTGCTGCTGCTGCTGCTGGTGTTTGTGCTGCAGTGTTTGAATATTGAGGCTGTGCCTCCTCGCTTCCGGCAAATGCAAGAAAGGCTGCAGCAAGTGGTGGGGCAGCGCGATTTATCTGCTTTCGTTGTAGGTCCTGCTGCTGCTGCTGCTGCTGCTGCTGGGGAGACAGCTGAGGGCGTCAGCTGTCTCTCGTGTGCTACTGAGAGAGACACTCCAGAGGGTCCCCTTCGCTTTAATACTGCTGCACTTCACAAGTACTCGGCACACCAGAGGCCCAGCAGCAACAGCAGCAGCAACAGCAGCAATAGCAGCAGCAGCAGCAGAAGCAGCAACAGCAGCAGAAGCAGGAGAAGCAGAAGCAAAAGCAGCAGCAACAACAATGCTTTTACACCGAGTCAGGCTGTCTCCTTTTGCTGCGGCGCTTTGGGTGCCCCAGAGGGAGGGGATTCGGAGGGTTCTTTAGCAGCAGCAGCGGCAGCAGCAGCAGCAGCAGCTGCTGCTGCTGCTGCTGCTGGCGGGCCCCGCTGCGTCTCTGCACTTGATGGTGCTGCGCTGCAGCACCCTGCATATAAACACCTTTGGGCTATCGAAGGTGAGCTCGCAAAGAGAGAAGCAGAGAAAGAGAGAGAAACAAAAAATAATAAAACAAATATAGAGACAGACATTAAAAATAATAAAACAGAAACAGAAGGAGGAGACAAGAAGAGAGAAACAGAGACAGGCCCACGCGAAGAGAGAGAAAGAGACAAAAAAGAAAAGGAGACAGCGATAGAAGCGCAGCAGCTGCAGCAGCAGCAGCAGCAGCAGCAGCAGATGGAAGCAGCAGCAAAGGTGACATATAAACAAGAGATCCCTTTGCTGGGGCCAAAGGGCGGTGAGGAGACATTTGCTGCGTTTGCTGATAAATTAAAACACCCGCGAGGAGACAACAGCCTACCAACTTGCAGCAGCTGCAGCAACAGCAGCAGCAGCAGCAGCAGCAGTTGCTACTGCAACTGCAGCAGGAGCCGCTGCACCAGCAGCAGCGGAAGCAGCAGCATGTGTACAAGCTGTAACAGCAGCTGCATCAGTATGACAAGCAGCAGCAGCAATATCAACAATAACAGCAGCAGCAGCAGCAAGCGAGGATTGGAGGGCCGCACGCGACCGCGGCTGCAGCAATCTCTGTTGCTGCGAGCAGCAGCAGATAAGAAGGGGGCAGCAAGCGCCAGCAGCAGCAGCAATTGCTTCCTTATTAGTCCCCCTGTGTCTCCTCCTGCATCTGAAGCAGCATCAGTAGACACACGAGCAGCAGCAGCAGCAGCAAAACAACTGTCTCCTCTACCAAGCCGCAGCAGCTCTTTGGGCGTTTCTTTCTGCGCTCGCTGCAGCAGCAGCTGCTGCCCCCCTGCATCAGCAGCAGCAACAAGAGCAGCAACAACAAGAGCAGCAAAGCAGAAGTGCGGCGCAGTGCGGCCGCGTACCGGTTCTGCAAGCAGCAGCAACAGCAGCAGCTGCAGCAGCAGCAACAGCAGCAACAGCAGCGAGACGGAGACAGCACAGAGGACAGGGAGAGCGTCTTTGCTGTCTCTAACTGTCTCCAGAGCTCATCCCTACTCCCAATTGAAGAAGAAACGCAACCGAGTGTTTGCTGCTAAAGCGCGGTGGTCTGCTGCTGCTCCTCTAACAGCAGCAGCACGTGCAGCAGCAGCAGCAGCAGCTGCTGCTGCTGCTGCTGCACGCAGATCCCCTAGAAAGCAACCACACTGGTGCAGCTTAACTACATCTCATTGCATGCGTAGCTGCGGTTCATGTGAGGCCCTTGGAGCTGCTGCAGCAGGAGCAGCACCAGCTGCTGCTGCTGCTGCTGCCCCTGCTGCTGCTGCTGCTGCTGCAGTGCCTGGGGGCGTAGGAAACGCCAGCGTGGCCCACCCCGTCTCTTGTGGGCTTCGGTGCAGCAACAGCAGCAGCAACAGCAGCAGGAGCAGCTGCAGGAGCTGTCCAGGGGAAGGAGGAGCAGCAGCAGGAGCAGGAAGAGGAGCAGCAGCAGCAGCAGCAGCAGCAGAGCCGAGAGAAGTTGTTGATGAAGCAACACATGGTGTTATGCTGCCTTTAACTCTAGGGCGAGGTTATATTATCGATAGAGACAATCAGCAGCCGCCTGCATGCGTGCAGCAGGTTCGGGTGTCTATACACCATCCAGGGGGGGCTTGCGGTGGTGCTGCTGCTCCTGCTGCTCCTGCTGCTGCTCCTGCTGCAGCAGGAGCAGCAGCAGCAGCAACAGGGGGAGGAGCAACAGCAACAGCACCAAAGGCAGCAGAAGAAAATTGTAGGAATTGCAAGTGCGGGCCTCACACTCAGCAGCAGCAGGAGCAGCAGCAGCAGCATCAGCAACAGCAGCAGCAGCAGCAGCAAGAGGGAGGTGCGCAGGAGCAGGAAGGAAGAGACTATGCGTGCAATTCTACTTTGCTGCTGCAGCAGCAACTTGCTGCTCAAGACACCGAACTAAGAGCAGCAGCGCAGCAGCTAGCTGCTTCTCTGCATCATCCATTGCTGCAGCAGCTGCAGCAGCAAGCACATATATTGCAGCAGCAGCTAGATGATGTTAATAATTATTTTATTGAGCTGCAGCAAAATGCTGCTTACTTACCGGACTTCGGCTCAAGAACAGGTTAGATGCACTTCTCTCTACTTTCTTTGTTTCTTTGTTCTGTCTCTTGTTATTATTATTATTATTATTGTTGTTGTTGTTGTTGTTTATTATTATTTATTATGATTGTTTATTTTTATTATTATTTAATATTATTATTATTCTTACTTGTTTCGCCTTGAGACATTTGTTTGTTTGTTTATTTTATTATTATTTCTCTCTCTACGCATTTTATTTATTTATTTATTTGTTTATTTGTTATTTGTTTATTTATTCTCTTTGTGTTTACTGCTGACGACTTGCATAAATTATTTTATGTCCTGTGGTTGCTGCTGCTGCTTCTGCTGCTGCTGCTGCTGCTGCTGCTGCAGATGGAGACTGCCAGTTGCTGCTGCTGCCGCAGTGGGTATATTTGTTTGCTGTGAAGATGAGTTTAATTCATCCGGCCTTCGTCTCTCCTCGCAATAAACAAAATCTCTCAAATGCAAACTCACTTCAACAAACGACAAACACAAAACTCTAATCTGCATGCATGCAGTAGTATATGCATGCATGCATGCATGCATGCATGCATATATGCAGTAATGCATCCACTAATGCATGCATGCATGCATCTACAGGTGCATGCATGCAGAGCTAGCTCCATGCATGCATGCATGCATGCACGCATGCAGAGGTATATGCATGTATGCATGCATACATGCATACGTGCAAGATGCATGCAATATGCATGCAATATGCATGCATGCAGATGTACATGCATGCATGCGTGCATGCATGCGCAGATGCATGCATGCAGAGCTGCATGCATGCATGCATGCAGAGGCAGGTGCATGCATGCAGAGGTGCATGCATGCATATGTGCATGCATCATTGCATGCATGCTCTTGCTGCTGTCCTTCCTCTTCTGTCTCTGTTTCTTCGTTGTCGCATTTGCGCTGTTTTCTTCTTTTATATGTTTAGGTGTACAGACACCTCGGGCTTACATAGTCTGATGTTTGCTTTCTAGAGGAAACCCTATCAGCTAAACCTTCTAAGGGGCTGCTGCTGTTGCTGCTGCTGTTGTTGCTGCTGCTGCTAATGCTGCTGCACCTGCCACTGCTGCTACAGATGATGGTGCTCTTGCTGCTGCTAGTGCTGCTGCAGCAGCTGCTGCTACTTCTGCAGCTGCTAATGCTGCTGGCATTTACAGCTGCAGGGCTGACTGTAGGAAGGATTTGCTGCGGCGTATGCAGAAGCATAGAAGCAACAGCAGCAGCAGCAGCAGCAGCAACAGCAGCAAAGAAAGACTGCCCTGCCTTTGGGGCGGCCTGCTGCGGCGTTGGCTCTGCCTGTCTTCACCTCGTGGAGGCAGCGCTGCATTCTAGCTAGCTGCAGCTAGCTCGCTTGCTAGTTAGCTGCAGCTAGCTAGCTTGCTAGCTAGCTAGCTAGCTTGTAGCTACTACAGGTAACCGCAGTTAGGAGCTGCAGCTAGTGTCAGCTAGCTACAGCTAGCTATAGATAGCTAGCCGCAGCTAGCTATAGGTAGCTAGCTGCAGAAACTCTATAGGGGGTGTTCTGTACTTCGTATATATTGCTTCGCTCTTCATCTAAACCCTAAACCCTAAGCCCTTAGGCTATTATGATGATGCTGCTACACGCAGACGCCTCTGCTTCTCTTTGTTGTTCTTGCTGCTTTGCTTATGTCAATCTAATAGCAGCAGCAGAACTAAGTAGCAGCAGCAGCAGCAGCAACAGCAGCAGCACAACCAACAAGCTGAATATACACCGTAGGTTTTCGCTGCCAAAGCGGTTCGCATGCATCGAACAGCAGCAGAACTAAGGAACTCTAAGAGCTGCAAAACTTGTAGCAGCAACAGCAGCAGCAGCAGCAGCACGAGCAACAGCGACAGTACCAGCAGCAACGATAGCAGCAGCAACAGCAGCACCAGCAGCAGCAACAGAAACAGCAACAGCAACAGCAGCAGCAGCTTTTGGGGTGTATACGCAGGTAGGAAAGGTGTTTGTCAGTGATTAGAAGTAGAAGCGAAAGAGTTTGGACTTGTGCAGCAGCAGCAAAATAATACAGAGTGCGAGAGCAGCAATTGTAGCTGTCAGCATAACTCTGTTTAATAAGTGCGTCCTAATTAATTTGGTTATTGCTTTTCTACTTCTGTCTCCTTCTGTATGTGTCCCCTCAGCCTGTTAAAAGAAATAAACAAATAAATAAAATAAAACAAATTAAAACAATACAAACAAATATACAAACATATATTGCTCAGCTGTACATACACACCAACTACACCCCACAGATAGCTGTTCATTGCATGCATCTTCATTTTAATAAACATATATATATATATATATATCTTCTTATTTCTTTAACTTTGTTCTTCTTACAATACTTACAAATAACTCTAATCAATTATCTCTATCAACCCTCTACGCTTTCGGGCTCAGGGTTTAGGGTTTAGGGTTTAGGGTTTAGGGTTTAGGGTTTGTGCGGACTAGGCGGTTGGTGTGCAGCAGAACATCTCTTTGCGCTCGCAGCTGAAAAGCAATAGAGAGACCGATTTCTTCTGTCTTTAATGCTGTGCTGCTGCACTCTTCAATCAAACGGCTGTTGATACAGTTAATCTCCTCTACTCCTAACACTGGCTCCTGCGGTGTCTGCGCAGACACCACACAGCAGCAGCAGCAACAACAGCAGCAGCAGCAGCAACAGCAGCAGCAATAGCAGCAGCAGCAGCAACAGCAGCAGCAGCAGCAGCAGCAATAGACGCAGCAGCAGCAACAGCAGCAGAACAATGCGGACACAAGCAAACAACAACAAACAGCAGACAGGAAGCGACTATGAAATAAACAAAACCAGAAAAAAAGCAACAGCAGCAGATATAAGCAGCAAAGCAGCAGCAAACAACCCCAAGCAGCAACAGCAGCAAGCAACAGCAGCAGATATAAGCAGCAATGCAGCAGCAAGAAAGGACCCAAGCAAACCAGACAAGCAGCAAAGAGCAGCAACAAATAAAAACAAAGAAACAGCAGCAGCAAACGGCAGCAACAATAAAAACAAACATACCACTAGAGGCAGCTGACTCTCTCTCGCTGCACTGGCCTTCTGCAGCAGCTGCAGTGCTGCTGCATAAGAAGATATCTGCAGCAGGCGATGCAAGAGCAAACAAAAACAATAAAAATAAAACAAACAAAAGTAAAGCACCCTCGCCCCCTAACAAAAAGGTGCGTACGAAGCTGCCTATACACCCCACGAAAAGACAGTGCAACTATGTATAAAACAAAAATTTAATTAAAAAATATAATAAATAAAATATATTTATTAATACAAAACTGTCTTCATACCTCCGCTGCAAGCGCATGCCCAGAGGGAGATCCTCTCGCCTCAATGCTCAGCTGCTGCAGCTGCAGCACAAGCAGCAGCAGCAGCAGCAGAAGCAGCAGTAACACAAATGGAAGCAGCAGAAGCAGCAGAAGCAGCAGCAGCAGAAGCAGCAAGACAAATGGAAGCAGCAGCAGCCAGCAGCAGCAACAGCGCCCGCAGCAACAATTTATAGAAACACCTCTACTAAAAAATAGCAGCAGCAGCTGCAGCGGCAACAGCAGCAGCACATTATGCTGTTGTTCGATGGTGGGCTATCTGACTAGTGTATATATATATATATATATTTATATATATATGTAGCAGGTAGGTGTATATACAGCTGAGCTGCATGCAGTTTTGTTGCGCTTACCGATACATCAGCGTCTGAGAGGGCCGTAGCAATGGTGGAAGCAGCAGCAGCACCTGCAGCATTGAACAGCAGCAAATGTATATTTAATGAGAACAGACAACCAGAAGACAGCATCCGTTTATTTAGATGATATAACTCAATGTACACCCCATTCAATTGCTCTTGACACTGCTGCTGCTGCTGCTGTTGCTGCTCCTGCCATTGCTGCGGCTGCTAGTGCTTATGTTACTGCTGCTGCTATTGCTGCTACTGCTATTGCTGTCGCTGCTGCTAGTGCTTCTGTTGCTGCTGCTGCTGCTGCTGTTGGTGCTGTTGGTGCTACAGATATTGCTGCAGTGGCCGTTGCTGTTGCTGCTGTTGCTGCTGCTGTTTGTGCTGCAGCTCCCTTCCATGCTGCTCCTTTATCATGAAAAATGCAAGTAGGGGCTCTCTGTTTTGTTTTTGCTGTTTGTTGCTGTTATATCTTACTTGGTGGCGCGAGCTCTGCTCTTGCTATGAGGTTCTGTGCATGTTGCATGCGTTTCTTGAACTGATCTTCTAAGAGTTTGTAATTAGTTGTTTTATAAACGCCATTATAGCTTTCATATCCTACAGAGCCGTTGAGGGAAGCCCCTAAATGCGGTGTATATACACCACCGCCTCCGTCCTCTCCTCCAGAAAACTCAGAAGCCGCACCCAGGCAAAACCCCTTATCGCTATTGCCGCTAAACATCTGCAGAAGGGTCTTCTTAAAAGCAGAAAATGAATAAAGAATTTGAGGTGTATGTGCAGCTTCACCTCATGAAACACAGCAGTGGTCAATTTACCTACCCGTGCATATTTCGGAGGGGCTGCTGCATGTAAATGCTCTTCTTCTTCTAAAATAAATTGAATGGCGAACAAGAGAAGTAAAAAATATCGAAGTTTTAATTCAAAAACGACAAAAGGAGAGGAAAAGGAAGACAAAGCACGCAGGCGTTTCCTTTCAATATGCGCAACCGGAGCATCGGGTTGCTGGCTGCATGCCGCCTCCTTCCCCTCAAAATATGACGGAAAAGAGGTAATTGAATAAATAATAAAGAATAACAAACAATATAACGCCAAAAAACATAAAAAAGAAGAAATTTCCTCTGCTTTCCAACCCTCTTGCAGCCCCAAGGCCACTGGTGCCGACCACCTGCAACTGCACAGTGCAAGAACACCAGCTGTACGTACACCCCAGCACTTCTTCACAGATTTGCAAGACTTTCAACAGCAATTTGCTAAATAAATTCTAGTATACCGAATTGTGCTGCAAATTCAGTTAACAATAGCCGCAAAAAGCTGCAAAAAATGCAGCAAAATGCTCAAAACTACATATATGTATGTATACATATAAAGCAAAGGTCTTAACACTCTATTCAACCAGCATACATGTATATATAATGCAGAGAAAAAGGAATTTATAAATAGCGCAAAACGTTAGTCTATCAAATGGGGTGTATATGCAGCTAATATAGTACACTACATTTAAAAGTCTTCTTTCTGTATACTCCCTTTAAGGCGAGCGAAGAATATTCAAACGAATATTCTTCTTTTGAAGACGTCAGGGAGATGAATATTAATTTATTTTAATCTATTTGCATAAAGAAACACCACTTGTGTCAAGCCAGCGCCCTCATCCTCCCTGTCTATAGACACTAAACCCTAAACCCTAAACCCTTCTCCTTCCCCCGCTTATCTCACTTACATATGTATCTATTTTTGTGTGTAAGAAGAAGAAGACTCGGCAGCACTGAACGGCTGCTGAGCAACAACAGATGAAGATTAACAATAAATTATTAACTTCTTTTTTTATTGCTTTCTTCATTCCTTGTTGATTACCTCCCTAAGTATTTGGTTTTGATGTCTTTAATTTGATTTAAAGAGTTAAGAGCGTTTAATTAAACAACGCAGAAAGAAACACTAAAGCGAATGGCTTCAGGTCTCTTCACTCCCAGTGTACACCGCAGCAAAAGTTGCAAATGCTGCTTCTTTCTAGCGGTTTATTTTGGGGTGTATTGTATGCAGATACACCGCAACAAACAACACCATTCCTCCTGCATGCAGCAAATGTAGCTACTGGCTACAATTTGCTTGCATTCGTCTGAGTTAATTTTCACAGCAGCAACGCTGAGGCCGCAGCAAACTCCCGCCCTGTGTGCTGCTACAGCTGGAGCAGCAGCAACAGCAGCAGCAGCAGCAGCAGCAGCTGCTGTCTATGAGTGCTTGATCTGCAGGAGACCACAGACAGCAGCAGCAACAGAAACAATTGCAGCAGTACTCTGCGTTAATTCATAGGGTAAAACCGTTTAAAGGATAATCAAAAGAAAGAATACAAAGCCTCTGCAAGCTCACCTGTTTCAATGGAGGTGCGCGTACACCTGAAGCATCAATCGACTTCTCAACGTCTTCGTCTACTTGACCCACCACAGCGCTGTGAGAACAAATAAATAAAATAAAATAAAATAAAATAAATAAAATAGACAAAAACACAAACTCAGGCATATACAACGCAGAAGAAAATAAAGCAACAGCAGCAGCAGCAGCAGCAAGAAACACCAGCAACAGCAGCAGAAGCAGCAAAAGCAGCAGCAGCAACAAGAACAACAGCAGCAGTAGCAGCAGCAGCAACAGGCGCAACAGCAGCAGCAGCAACGGGATGAATTCGTACATATTGTCTCCTCTAAGAAGGTAAAGACCAAGAGGAATTATCTCCACTGGCGCATCTTCATGCACAACTTTTTCTGTACATTTATTCAAAACGATATTCGTTGATTGATCAAAGGCTGTTAAAGTACCCATAAACAAACGCCCGTCAAACGTCAGCACGCATACGCGCTCTAAACACAACAGCAAAACAAAAACTACAGCAAGAACAGTAGCAGCAAGAACAGTACAAGCAACAGCAGCAGCAGCACACAGCACCAGAAAACAGCAGAAGAAACAGACAACAACGCATGCAAACAGCAATAGAAACACACATAAACAGAAACAAACAGCAACCGCAGCAAACAGCAGCACCAGTAAACAGCAGCAGCAGCAAACAACCAGAAAAACTTATCATCCCCCTTCTGAATCGCACCACCCGATACGCCCCTCTATTCAAAAGCTCATTGCATGCAGCAACATCGGTGCCGAGCAGCAGCTACAGCAACCACCCCCAAGGAGAAATAACAACACATCAGCAAAATTCACACAAATAAGAACGGCTAAAGCCTAGCAAGTAAACAGCGCATCAGTTCCAGCATCTCCAATAAAGAAAACGAGTAGACAAGAGGATAATTTACTTAAAAAACAAGTAAAAAAGAATTCAGTAATAAAGACAATTGCGGTGTACGTACGCTCAAGCAGCGACTGCAGGCCTGACGCCATCGCAACGGAAACTTTTTTCAGAAATTATATTAGTACAGGGTGGTGGATCTGAGGGGAAGTTGTGCGAAATTGAGGGTATTTTGTTCTCTTTTTCTGCTAAATAACAATTAAAAATTCATTTAATAAATGAATTTTAATTGTATTTATCAATTTTCTGCGTTTTCTCAACACCCACGAACGCCAACACCTCCCCCCCCTGCCGCGCCGTGCTGCCGCCGTGCTGGGCAGCCAGGAAAAAGGAAGATGAAATATGAAAGGGTAGCTTGAGAAAATATAAAAAAGAAGTTAATAAATCATAAAAAAGACTTTTTGAAGAATCTGCTGATAAACTGCAGGCGACAAGACTACGAGAAACTCTCGAAATCCGTCTGAGAGGAAAAACATGAACGGCTGCGATCTGCAGCTTTCCGGGAGTAAATTTGACCCTAAACCCTTCTATTTGCAACAAACTCAACAAAAAATATAAAAATAAATACTTTTAGAAAGAGAACACGTGAGATTTCTCCACGAATTCCGGAAATTCTGCATGCAACTGCGTGCATGCAGCCAGCAACGCCGACCGCAGAAACTGAGCAGATCATAGGTACGGCTCCCTTAGTACCTATTTCTGTAGATTCCTCTGCATTTATTAATTCATTAACTATAGAAAATGCACAAATATGGAGCGCTTAACATCTATTTCTGATTAACAGGAACAGCAGGGAGGGAGGGCTCGGCTATTACTTTAGCAGCAAACTAAAGCCGTGATGACTCTGTGCACTCATCAGCACCGTCTCGTGCTTTGTAGCAGCTTCTCTTGAGCCGCAGCAGACACAGTTGTCGTCTCAGGCCTTCCGGTGTAAAGACTCGCAGCAACAATAGAAGCAGCAGCTACAGGAGAAGCAGCAGCTACTCCAGCACAGCAGCAGAAATGGGGCCCCCCTTGATCATTCCCCCAGACTTTGCTGCGGCGCAGCTGCCGCTCTTAGCTGAGCTGCTGCAGATGCCTGTGAATGAGGTCTCTCCAGAGCTGCTACAGCACATGTGGGATTATCTAGCGGAGGGCAGCTACCAGCAGCAGCAGCAGCAGCAGCAGGGAGGTGCAGCAGCAGTAGACACCGCAGCTGTTGAGAGCCTTCGCGGCTTCGTCGAAGCCATTGTGGAGCCTCTCCATACACCCGCCAGCTTCCGCAACGCCCAGCCCCTGCTGCAGCGTTTTGTTGATGCCTTTGTAGCTCGTGCCTACTACCCCAGCAGCAGCAACAGCAGCAGCAGTAGCAGCAGCAGCAGTAACAGCAGCAGCAGTAGCAGCACCAGCAGAACTGCAGAAGTAGGGGAGGCTCTGCAGAGCCGGAGCAGCGGCCTCACGGGTGTGGAAGCAGCAGGCGCATTGGATCGCAGTGCTGCAGCTGCTGCTGCTCCTGCTGCGGCTCCTGCGGCAGCAAGTCCCCCAAGAACATCGAGTGCTGGTGCAGCAGATGCTGCTTCAGCTACACCTATGGAGGCCCCCTGCAGCAGCAAACACACCGACGACCCTCACGGTACACATGTAGCTGCTGCTGCAGCAGCACCAACACAACGCTCCGCAGCAGCAAAAGACCCAGCGAGCAGCAGCAGCAGACCCAGCAGCAGCAACAGCGAGAGAATGAACCACCAACGCAGTCAGCCCCCAAAACCTGGCATGCAGCCGCAGCAGCAGCAACAGCAGCAGCAGCAGCAGTTGCGTCCGCAGCAGCAGTCGCGTCCGCAGCAGGAGTCGCGGCAGCAGCAGCAGCAGCAGCACATGGTGCGGCAGCAGCAGCAGCAACAAAGGCAGCAGCGGCAAACGCAGCAGCAGCAGCAGCAGGGCAATCCTAATTTGTCGCATGGACAGCAGCAAACCCATAGACAGCCGCAACGCCCGCAGCAGGCACGGCAGCAGCAACAGCGGGAGCAGCCGCCTCAGCGACAACAGCAGCGTCAGCGCCAGCAGCAGCAGCAGCCGCAGCAGCAACAGCAGAGCGAAGATGCTGCTGCTGGGTCCTTAGAAGAAGTTGATTGGCCCGAGCCGCCGCCTATCACTCGGCGAGTGCCGCGGAAGCAGCAGCAGGTGCTGCAGCACTTCGGTATTGCTGCGTTCACTGCACCCTCCAGCAGCAGCAGCAGCAGCAGCGGCAGACGGGCTCGCATGCAGGGCAAGAAAGAAGGAGGATTTGCTGCCAGAGCAGCAAAAGAAGAAGCAGCAGCAGCAACTGCGACTGTACACTGTCTGTGTCTTGGTGTAGAGCACGGGGCTTACGGTGTCTGTCTTAGCTGCGGTTTGATTCGTTGCCGCTTCGGCCTCAGCAGCAGCAGCAGCAGCAGCGAGGAGGCCATCCGGTGTCTCTTCTGCGCTAACGAAGTCGTACCCAGTGCTGGTCTCCCCGCTATCACTGCCTCAGTAGACGCCAGGTTGAAGGGAAACAGGGAGCAGCTCGCGCTGCTGCTGCAGCAGCAGCAGCAGCAGCAACAGCAGCAGCAGCAGCAGGACGAGGTGCTCCCCGATAAGGTGGAGGCGCTGAAGGAGAAGATCAAGGCCGACGAGGCTCACCTCAAGGGTGAGAATACAGCAGCTGTAGCAAGTGCAACAGCAGCAGCAGCAGCAGCAGCGATAGCAGTAATAGTAGTAGTAGCAGCAGCAGCAGCAGGCTGAAGCCTCCGACCATCCATGTGCATATTATTATTTCTGTGTATTTGCTGTTATCGACGACAGAGTTTGCGGCATTGCTCGCACGTATTGTGTATTGTTGCTGCTGCTTGTGTTGCTGCTGCTGCTGTTGCTGCTGCTGCTGTTGCTGCTGCTGCTGCTGCTGTTGTTGTGTGCAGCTCTGCGTCTGCATCGGGAGTTGGTGGTGCGGGACGCGCAGTCGCTGCAGCAAACTCGAGTGTTAGATTTAAGCAGCTGCTGGTTTGATGCTAATGTAGGGCTGCAGACTGAAGCTCGCGGAGACATATGGCTGACACCAGAGCAGCAGCAGGAGAAGCAGCAGCTGCTGCAGCGGCTGCAGCACGCCTTCAACTTCGAGAAAGGTAACGAATTACGATGTCGTACACAAACACCCTGCCTTGCTGCTGCAGCAACTACATGCTGCTGCCAAACCCCACACCGTCGAGGAAAAAGCAGCAGCAGCAGTAGCAGCAGCAGCAGCAGTCGCAGCAACAGCAACAGCAGCAGCAGCGCCAGCTGAAAGGGCAGGAAATGCTGCTGCTGCCACGCAGCAGCACACTGCAAATGGAGCACAAACGTCTCTCCGTGCATATAATATATAATACATCCTGAGATATGCTGCTGCAGCTTCTATGCAGATGCCTACCTGCTGCTGCTGCTGCTGCTGGTGTTGCTGCTGCTGCTGTGTCTTGTGCTGTTGCTGCTGGTGTTTCTGCTGCTGTCTCTTGTGCTTCTGCTGCTGGTGTGGATGCTGCGTGTGCTACAATTGCTGCTGCTGCTGCTTGTGCTGCTGCTGCTGCTGCTGCAGGACGGCGAAAGGTGACGTTTGATTTTGAGGGGCGGCGTGTGGTGGCTGAGGCCTCAACTCTGCCCGAGGAAGCGGAAGCTTTGCTGCGGGCCTTTGAAGAAAGGTGTGCAGAGCAAAACATGCAGCAGCAGCAGCAGCAGCAACAGCAACAGCAGCAGCAGCAGCAACAGCAACAGATTGAGGTGTGGGATGACGATGGCTTCGGTGGAGATACACCTGAAGGCACCAGCGCATTTAAAAGCACTTATCAAGCGAGAAGGCAGCAGCATCTGGAGCAGCAGCACTGGCCTGAGTTGCAAGCCAAACAGCAGAAGCAGCAGCAGCCAGGGAGTTCTTCTTCAGCTTGGCCTTCTCCCGAAGAAGACACTAAGCAGCAGCAGCAGCGGGGCCCCCCACTCCAATGCAAAACTGCTGCAGAGCAGCTGCAAGAGGCCTGGAATGCAATGCTAGAGCGGGAAGCACCAGCAGCAACAACAGCAGAAGCTGAGCAGCAGCAGCAGCAGCAGCAGCAGCAGCAGCAGAACCCCTCCCCTCATGGCTTAGCCAATGACGCCTTAGACGGCTTCGCCCGCGTGCTGCTGAAGGACTTACATGCTGCTGCCAGGCCCCACACCACCAAGGAAAAGGCAGCAGCAGCAGCAGCAGCAGCAGCAGCAGCAGCAGCAGCACCCGCTGAACGGACAGGACCTTCTGTGGCAGTACGAGCTGTAACTGCAGCAGAAGCAGCAGCAGCAGCAGCAGCTGAAGGAGCCAAGAAGGGAGCAGCGGACAGGAGCAAAAAGAAGACAGAAACAGCAACAGCAAAAACAGCAGCAGCAGCAGCAACAGAACCTGCAGCAGACTCCGAAGCAGCCGAGGCTGGGGGCAGTGCAGGAGAAGCAGGAGAAGCAGCAGCAGCAGCAGCAGCAGCAGCAGAACTCGAGGAAGATACATTTTTGCGTGGGCGTTGGCGCATGCGTGGCGACGGGCAGCAGCAGACTTTGCTGCAGCAGCTAAAGGAGCAGCAGCAGCCGCAGCAGGAGAAGCAGGAGGAAGCAGCAGCACCTGTGCTGTGGGGTGTGCAGCATCTGCAGCAGCAGCAAACTGAAGCTGCTGCAAGGAAGAACATTAAAGAGAAGCTGTTCCGAGTGCATGCAGCGAGGAGCGACGGAGGAGCCTTCGGGGCCCTCAGCAGCAACGACGAAGAGACAGACGAAGAGACAGAAGCAGCAACAGAAGAAGAACAAGAGACGCATTATGACGCCCTGTGGATGGAGGCTGAAGACCCAGAAACGCAGCAGCAGCAGCAGCAGCAGCAGCAGGATGATGATGAAGTCGGCATCGCGTTGACGGTGCAGCAGCCGCTCGCTTCTCTGATAGTTTTTGGGTTCATTAGAGAATTGCAGCATGCAGCTTCTTCCTATAGGGGCAGGTGCGGTTGCTGTTATTCATCTGTGTTTGTTGCTGCTGCTGCTGCTGCTGCTGCTGCTGTGGTTGCTGCTGTGGCTGATGCTGTTGCTGGTGTTTTGTTTGCTGCCGCTGTTGTATTGTCTTTGCTGTTGTTGCTGGTGCTGCTCCTCTAGCTGCTGCTTTTGCTGCTGCTTCTGTTGCTGCTTCTGTTGCTATTGCTGCTGCTGCTGCTGCTGCTGATGCTACTGTTTCAGGTTGTGGATTTACGCAGCAGAATCTGCTGCCAGCAGCAGCACGGAGGCTTCGTCTGCGTTGCTGCAGCAGCAGCAGCTGCAGCAGGAGCTGCAGCAGGCAGCAGCAGAAGCCTTAGGCGAGAAGAATCTCTCTCAATTTGCTGCTGTCTCTCTTCTAAAGGAAATCAGCTGTCCCTTCGGGTGTCTCCTCGGCTCGGTTCGCCTCGCTGCATGCGCTGCAGCAGAGGTGAGTTTGCTGCTGAATATTTATTCAATTAAACAAATGCTTTCCTTCTCGCGGTCTGCTGCTGCTGCTGCTGCTGGTACTTTCTGCCTGCCTCCTGCTGCTGCTATCTTGCTGCTGCCGCTGCGTGCTATCTGCTGCTGCTACTTTCTAGCTGCTGCTACTGCTGCTGCTGCCCGCTTGCTGTCGCTGCCGCTTGCTTGCTTGCTGCTGCTGCTGCTGCTGCTGCTGCAGGAGGTTGTGTATGATTGTTTATTTGCTGCAGGCTGGGGAGTCCTTTGTGCTGCATCTGCAAATGCCGCAGCGGCTGAGGGTCCCAGTGAAGGTTTGTTTATTTGTTTATTGTTTGTTTATTTATTTATTTATTTTATTTGTTTATTTGCTTACTTGTTTGTTTATGTGTTTATTTATTTATTTATTTGTTTGTTTGTTTATTTATGTATTTGTTTATTTACCTGTTTATTTATTTACCTGTTTATTTATTTATTTATTTATTTATTTATTTATTCTTTTGTTGTTTATTTGTTTGTTTATTTGTTTGTTTCCTTTTTTATTTATTTGTTTGTTTATTTCTTTATTTGTTTGTTTGTTTATTTATTTGTTTGTTTATTTGTTTGTTTGTGTGTTTATCTGTTTATTTATTTATTTATTTATTTATTTATTTCTTTATTTGTCTGTCTGTTTATCTGTTTATTTCTTTATTTGTCTGTCTGTTTATCTGTTTATTTCTTTATTTGTTTGTTTGTTTGTCTGCTCGTTCATTTGTTTGTTCTTCACTTATTTTTTTTTTAATTTGTTTATTAGTACATTTACATGCTATTTATTTGCTTCTATATCTCTTTGTGTATTTATTTATTTATTTATTTATTTTATTTATTTATTTATTTTATTTTATTTTATTTTATTTTATTTTATTTATTTTATTTATTTATCTGTCTCTTATTTCGTATGTCATTTCTGTATTAAGTTGTTCAATAAGCCACACTTCACTGCCTCGCTTCTGCTGCTGTTGCTGCTGCTGCTGCTGTTGCTGCTGCTGTTGCTGCTGCTGTTGCTGCTGCTGTTGCTGCTGCTGTTGCTGCTGCTGCTGTTCAGATGCGGGGAGGCGAGGGTTTCTGGTGTCTGCCTCCTTCGCTGTTGTCTTCTCTTTCTTCTTCTTTGCTGCCTCCCCGCTGGCCGTCTTGCTTGGGGCCTCAGCCCCAGGAGACAGTAAAGCAGCAGGAGCAGCAGCTGCAGCAGCAGCCTGTGCAGCAGCTGCAGCAGCAGCAGCAGCAAGAGCAGCAGCAGCCAGAAGAGGAAGAGGAGACATTTTGGTGATCTGAGGAGACACCCCAGCGCTCCTCAGATATCTGTCTCCTTTCTCCTCCCGCTGCTGCAGCGAACCTCAACCCAATGTGCTGCTGCTGCTGCTGCT